AATTTCATTCTTCTGCATGTGGCTGTCCAATTTGCCCAACACCATTTGTTGAAGAGACTGTCTTTTTTTCATTAGATATTCTTTCCTGCTTTGTCAAAGATTACTTGACCATAGAGTTGAGGGTCCATTTCTGGGCTCTCTATTCTGTTCCACTGATCTATGTGCCTGATTTTGTGCCAGGAGCATACTGTCCTCATGATTACGGCTTCATAATAGAGCTTGAAGTCCGGAAGTGTGATGCCACCAGCCTTGCTTTTCTTTTTCAACATTCCTCTGGCTATTTGGGGTCTTTTCTGGTTCCATACAAATTTTAGGATTATTTGTTCCATTTCTTTGAAAAAAGTGGATGGTATTTTGATAAGGATTGCATTAAATGTGTAGATTGCTCTAGGTAGCATGGACATTTTCACAATATTTGTTCTTTCAATTCATGAGCATGGAACATTTTTCCATTTCTTTGTGTCTTCCTCAATTTATTTCATGAGTATTCTATAGTTTTTGACTACAGATTCTTTGCCTCTTTGGTTAGATTTATTCCTAGGTATCTTTTGGTTTTGGGTGCAATTGTAAATGGGGTCGATTCCTTAATTTCTCTTTCTTCTGTCTTGTTGGTTTATAGAAATGCAACTGATTTCTGTGCATTGATTTTATATCCTACCACTTTACTGAATTCCTGTATGAGTTCTAGCAGTTTTGGGGTGGAGTCTTTGAGTTTTTCACATAAATTATCATATCATCTGCAAACAGTGAGTTTGACTTCTTTGCTGATTCGGGTGCTTTTTACTTCTTTTTATTTTCTGATTGCTGTGGCTAGGACTTCTAGTACTATGGTGAATAGCAGTAGTGATAATGGACATCCCTGCCATGTTCCTAACCTTAGGGAGAAAGATCTCAGTTTTTCCCCATTGAGAATGATATTTGCTGTGGATTTTTCATAGACGGCTTTTATGATATTGAGTTATATACCATCTATCCCTACACTCTGAAGAGTTTTCATCAAGAAAGGATGCTGTACTTTCTCAAATGCTTTTTCTGCATCTATTGAGAGGATCATATGGGTCTTGTTCTTTCTTTTATTAATATGTTGTATCACATTGATTGATTTGCAGATGTTGAACCACCCTTGCAGCCCTGGAATAAATCCTACTTGGTCATGGTGAATAATCCTTTTAATGTACTGTTGGATCTTACTGGCTAGTATTTTTGTGAGAATTTTTGCATCCATATTCATTAGGGGTATTGGTCTGTAATTCTTCTTTTTGATGGGGTCTTTGTTTGGTTTTGGGATCAAGGTAATGCTGGCCTCATAAAATGAGTTTGGAAGTTTTCCTTCCATTTCTCTTTTTTGGAAGAGTTTCAGAAGAATAGATATTAATTATTCTTGAAATGTTTGGTAGAATTCCCCTGGGAAGCCATCTGGCCCTGGGCTCTTATTTGTTGGGAGCTTTTCGATAACTGCTTCAATTTCCTTATGGACATGGGTATGTTCATGTTTTCTATTTCTACCTGGTTCAGTTTTGGTAGTTGATACATCTCTAGGTATGCATCCATTTCTTCCAGATTATCTTATTTGCTAACATATAGTTGCTCATAATATGTTCTTATAATTGTTTGTATTTCTTTGGTGTTGGTTGTGATCTCTCCTCTTTCATTCATGATTTTGTTGATTTGGGTCATTTTTCTTTTCTTTTTGATAATTCCTCCATTTTAGTAAATGACAATGCTCTCCTTTCAATTGCTCAATCAGATATTTTGGAATCATCCTTGATTCAACTTTACTTTCAAATCCCACACTTTACTTATTGAAAGCTTTATACTTTTCTCCATTTTTTTCAATCTTATTTTCAAAGAGCTCAGGATTATGATTTTTTTCAGAATTATAATTTTAAGACTTATGTTAATTCTTGTCACTTCTCTGCTCAAAAATCTCCCATGGTTTTCCATGTCCCTCAGAGTAAAGCTCATGAAGAGTCCATATAGCACTCCAAATTCTGATCTGTGTTATTTCTTTGACTTCATTTCCTATTAATTACTCCTTAATTCATTCCATTCCCACAATAGCCCCTTGCTTTAACTCAAACTCCCCTAGAATGTCTCTATCTCAAGGTATTTGAAAGTACCCATCTGTCTGGAATTGTTTGTTTTACAGACATTCACATGGTTTGTTCCTTTGTCCCCTTCAGATTTTGCACACATACCAATGAAGATTTTCCTGTCATGCAGTCCCTTCTACACTCTTTGCTCTTTTCTCTGCTTTATTTTCTTGACTGTACTTACAAATGTATTCAGCAATATTATATTTAATTTATTTATACCCTTATATTTTGTCTTTTGCCACTGGATTGTAAGTCCCATCATGACTTTGTTTTTGTCTGTTTTGCTCACTATTTATATCTTTCCACCCAGAGAAAGACTAAATGCATATTAAGCACTCAATAAATATTCATTGAATAAATGAATGATTAAATTTTGAAGAGAACTTAAGTTTAGTGAGATTTATGGGTTTCAGAAGAGTTTTATTACAAGGAGATAGTAAATAATTTGATGGATGTCATTGTGGATGCTCAGCAGATAGATGGACATGTAGGTCTAGGAGTCATATTAGAAATGAGTAAATATATTATATATATATATATATATATATATATATATATATATATATATATATATATATATAGTATTTGAAGCCCCAAGAAGGGGCCAAAGGTGACCACTGAGAAAGAGGAAAGATAAATTGACATTGGTATCAAGAACCAAACTTGAACACATCTCTGCCTCCTGCTTTCTCTTTTTACCTATTATTTCCTGTGTACCACTAACTCCTTGGGAAAAAAAATAAAAATTTTACAATGCCAATCTACATCAAATAATTGGCTTATAATTTATAAGGTATGAATAATTGAAAATATTAACCTTTCTAAAAATTTCTGTATAATTAGATATCTATTTTTGATAACCAAGGTATAATCCCCAAATTAATAAAGATGTGGCAGAATTATTTTTGAAAAAAGGTTGTTATATTTTTGCAAACTTGTAATATTAAAAATATTTACCCCTTTACCAAGAGTGAATTGCATGTTTTTTTGTTGTTTTCTTTTTTAATAGTACATAGGCACATCTCATATTTTACAAAACTTTACCACCATTTTCATATCTGATGCACTTAATATGGTTGGATATCAAAAGTAATTCAGGATCTGCAGGTGATATAAACTGGCTGCGCAAAGAACGAAGAGATGAATAGGGGACTTCAAGGTTGAGTTAAGGCAACAGAAAAGCTGCTAGTTGACAAATCATATTGCCACTGAAGGAGAGTATTAAAAATAAAGCTTCTGAAATAATTATGATGGGATAACTAAAATCATTTTTAGATTGAAATATTTTAGGAGATTAGAATAGTTAAATCTTTGCTGCTCTCTAGAATAAGTCAACATTTGCCATAGGAACCTATGAAATACTGAAGTTTTGAAGGGAATTACTCAGAAAGATTAAGTATTTTATGTATATTGTACAGAATTTTGAATGAATTTATGTTGTGCTCTATTGTGCTCCTACTGCATGATCTGATAAAATATTCTGAAGGTGAATTATTTTACTTAAATAGTTTCCTGGTGCATGGCACATATTATGATATGTCCCAATTGAATAGATACTTTGTATTGTTTCCCATTTTCACATACTACAAATTGCAAACACTTTTACTAATGTGCATATCAATTGTAATTCTACATCCTTTATTATCAGTATGAATGATATAGCAACAACTTTGTCAGTAATTTCATATGGTTTATTACACTCTAGTTGTCGTCTTTGTGATAAGTTTATCATATAGACTCTATTAAGCATATGTATGTATTTGTCTTCTCTCAGTCCTCTTGGAATTAAAACATTTTATGGACTACTGATGGTTTTCCATACCTGATCACCAAGCTGATGTCAGCTTTTAAAATCTATGTTGAGCATCACCTCATGATTTTACAAGCTAGTCTTACATAATTTCTAGTTTGAAAAAAAATAAAACAAAACTCTTTTCTTTTTTTCTTTTTTTGCAATGTGGGCCACAAATTTCCTTAAGGATCCAAATGGGAAACATATTTCAAAAAATTCAAACAATTAGTGGGCCTTGGTTGTTTTTTTGTTGTTGTTTTTGTTTTTGTTTTTTAACAATGAAGTACAACAAATTTAAACAACCAAGTATAACAATCAAAATTAATTACATTTAAAATTACTTCATGCAGGGTGCTTGGGTGGCTCATATGGTTAAGCGTCTGCCTTCGGCTCAGGTCATGGTCCCAGGGTTCTGGGATCAAGCCCCACATCAGGCTCCTGGCTCAGCGGGGAGCCTGCTTCTCCCTCTCCCGTTGTCTCTCCCCCTTCCCATGCTCACTCTCTCTCTGTATCTCTGTGTTTCAAATGAATAAATAAAAATCTTAAAAAAAATAAAATAAAAAAATAAAATTACTTCATGCATTATATTTTGGAATTGAACCATTTGGTTCCTAGTGCCATAAACATTCATAACCTCTCGCTTTCAGCATTTCATATTCAGTGTCTTATGATAAATTGTAACTTATTCTAGAGAATAATGAAGAATATTTTAAAAATTATTTCAATCCAAATTTATCATTTGAAATGTGTATAAAGAGATTAAAAATTTATTTTAATCTACTCCCATGTTTTGTACTTTATCAAGAATAACAAATATATTTCTACCCAGCATTTATCAATACTGAAATGACTTTCATAGATAGATAATAAGAATGCTTAGTATTTCTAGCTCTTAGACTGCCATGTTTTGAAGTAAACCTGCAATACATATGAAATTTATATATTGAACAAAAATGTTTACAGCTTCTATACATTTGATAGAATTAACTGATTATATTATGTTTGTTGAGCTTGAAAAAAAACTCATTTTTATCTAGTTGTCTAGTTATTGTCAATGTGTTTTAAAGAAATTGATTTTTATTTTATCTGAAACATTTCTTTTTCCCTTTCAGGAGCTGGAGTTTTCAAATCTTTTTGCTGTTCTTCACTGCATTCATTCATTCTTCGCTGCCAAAGTAGCTTGTTTGGACCCTCTCTTCTTAGGCCACCAGACTACTGTTTCTGCTGCTGCGAGCTCTGCTACTACAAGCAAAGCAAAGTATACAACTTGACATATGGAGCTTTGCATTGCCACTTACCATGACTATATAAAGAGAATAGACATCGTCATCATTTTAGACCCTGGAGAAACAATGATACCATCAAGTCAACAGTGAATTCAGTTTGAAATTTCAGCAGAAAACAAAGTCATAAGGGATCTCAAAAGCACTTCTGTTTTGGAAGGCATTTGTGAACAATCGTAAATGAAAATAACAGCTTGTTCTCACTCAGTTTATTTGCACCAGTATTTCGTCAAAAGTGAAGACGAAAGAAAGAATGATTCAACCTATGTAAATAATATAAAAATTGTAAGCTACCTATAAATAAAAATACCACTTAAATGGTTATTTCTGTATTTTAGATTATTTTGTATGACAAATACATGTTGGGCCTGATCATGAACTGATGCCCTATCATGGAATTATGAGTGATATATAAAGGAGACAAAAAACCACATGGCAGCAAGGAAAAAAGCATGCAAAAAAATTCATCAAAGAAGAAAGCCTTTTCATTTGCTGATGTAGATTTTTCCTTGTATTCTCATTCCACGAAATGACACTGGCATTCCAATTCTGTTTATCTTATTGTCGACTATTCCTAAGATTTTCAAAAGAATAAATACATCTATTCTATGATAGTCACAATGTAAAATGTACTTTTTCCTTAAATCACTGATATCAATGTTTTATTGCTGCTAGTGTCAACCAAATATGCTGAAATGTGTTATTTAATTATGAACCAAGGAAACATTCATGAACCTCTTGTTCTTTCCTTCACTTAAGGAGATTTATACTTACCTAATATGATTTGTTATCAAAGTTTCATAAATTTTCAGTGGCCCCAAAAACTTGTGTAGAAAAAATATCAAAAATGTTGTGTGAGAACCAATTCTTTGTAATCCTAATTTTATTAGTTAATCATGACTGAAATGACCTTAGAGTGTAGTCTCAGTTTTACTTATTTCAGGTAAATGACATTTTCCCATTTTAGTAATATTTTATGATAAAATAAGTTGAGGTATGAATATAAAATTTTAAATTTCTAACTTACCATGTCATAAAAAGTGACTATATAATGCCAAACTATGTGGGTTATTTTAGTTATCTTGTCTTAGTAAATGTGAAGAGGCTGGAAGTTTGAAAGCATCAGAGTATGTGCCCCTGACTCAGATCCCAGGTATTATATCACCATTTGTTTAATGTGGAAAACACTATCTGCCTTTTACTACAGCTGTACTGAGATCTGCTTTTAAACAACTAGCTGCCTATTAGAAAAAAGAAAAAAATATATTTTTTATTAACACACGTGTTCCCAACTAAATCAAACATTGGATAGTTCCTTATGAAGATGATGAAATATCCAATAAGGCGGTTTGATTTTTATTTTTTAAATAGGAAAAAAAAATTACACAAGAAGGAAACAAAATTATTTGCAAAAGTGACACATGATTGTTATGCTTTATTATTTTTTTAAGATTTTTTTTTATTTTTTATTTATTTATTTGAGACAGAGAGAATGAGAGACAGAGAGCACGAGAGGGAGGAGGGTCAGAGGGAGAAGCAGACTCCCCGCCGAGCAGGGGGAGCCCGATGCGGGACTCGATCCCGGGACTCCAGGATCATGACCTGAGCCGAAGGCAGTCGCTCAACCAACTGAGCCACCCAGGCGCCCAATTGTTATGTTTTGAAATTTATCAAACTATTTCCATAATCATCATAAATTATTAATTCACTTTGTGTCTGGTTAATTCTTAAGCATGCTAAATTGAAAAGAAAAAGTGAAGGTTCATAATTGTACCTGGCAAGAGTTAAGTTTGATCAAGGACACCTTATTAAAAGAACTGTGGCTAATTGGACACTACATAGTTTTGATATATTTTATCTTGACCATAAAATTAATATATGTTCATAATTGGGATAATACTGTGGAATTATTGCTGACTAAGTATTCACCAAATAGAACAGTCATTCTAAAGCCAGAAGTCCACCAAAAGCAGGCTTCAGTAAGCCTCTCTTTTGTCTATGGGGGAAGAGTAGAGAGAGGCATCTGCCTCAGGGTCAGAAGCAGTAGTAGCCACTTCATTATAGAATCTCTGCTATGAGCTAGAGTTGTATCTTGGTGTGCCCCACATTGGGGCAACATTTATGTGTCCACAGTGTGATAATCTGGTCTACAGGTAATAGGAAATGGGCTAGTTAGCCAAAAGGAAAAAAAATAGTTTTAAAAACTTATATACGTGTTATGTAATCATTTTTAATAAATATTGTCAGATTTTGTAAAAGCTCCATTTTAAATAACAGAAAGACAATTTAATTAAATATCCTTTTTGTTATATCATAAAAATCTTCTAGTCTGTGCTAGTGTGTATGATGAAGGAACAGGTGCACAATGAGATATGTATGAGTGTGTATCTCCTTATACAACACACATACACATATATGTGTGTATTTGTATATAATAAAATGCTACCCACAAATTATATTAGAAGAATATATTTCAAGTACATATATTTAATATACTTAAATATACACTGTAAATTGTAGCTTGAATTAAAATTTATGATAATACAATATTGTGTTTATTTTTGATACCATTGATAAAAAACTAACAGGCCTAAATTGCTACTTAACATTAGTGGAGCACCTACCTATTAGAAAAATATTATTTTGATGTCATCAATTACCAAATAGTTCTTAACATTTTCCTCTACAGTGGAATGATTAACCACTGTCATTTGTTATAACTTGGACTATTTGAATGGGAAAACTTAAAAATGAACAAAATACTCAGATAAATCTCTATTTCTCATGTAATTTATGTTTAGATGCATGAGATTTATTTATGAAATCCTAGTTTGTACTAGAGCACATTTTAATAGCAGAATGCTTAATTATGTGTTAACCCCTCCAGTGCCTTGGGATATGTGTGTGTGTGTGTGTACACATTATACATATATGTATATGTATGTATGTGTATATATATACATATACATATATATGCACATTAAAGGGTTCATTATAGTGTACATAGTGCAAGCTCAAAGGGAATATTATATTATAGGTACTTAGGTCAGAGAAGGGAGTTCAAATATCATTTGAAGTATTTGTTAACTACTATAATAATGTATTTTGCCTAATAAAGGATAACAATTAATTTAAGCTAAAGTATATTGAAGCAGGAGCATTTTTAATTTGTTATACTGCAACAGATATTTATTTCTAAAATACTTTAAATAATATGAGTGTAATGTATACCCCAACATTTACCATCCAACACTATTTTAAGGGAAGAACAACCAGCTTATCATTCTTGCCCATTTTTCAGGCAGGTACCAATTTAGAGTTTTAAAGTCTTTGCTCACAAAGCTGTCGCTATACAGGAAGAAAAGTAATTACTTGAAAATAAATATCAAGTTCATATTAACCATGTAAGCAGAGAAATTTTCCTTTGGGTGCATTGGCTTATAGATAGACATTTCCTTCATTTACAATGACAAAGCTTGTTCATAAGCTTTGTTTACATGGAATGCTGGGTTTGAGAGAAGCTTGATTTATTATTGTGGAAAAGTAATAATCCTAACAATTATTTAGAATTACTGCTAGAAATCAGCAGGTGGAGAAGCTTTAAAAGCACAAGGATGATCTTGTGCTTAACTTTTTAAGGTAAGTGTACATGTTCCGATATTAATAACATTTTGCTACTCTTAATAGTGCTGTACTCATGAGCTCTTCTTAAGGAATTGCTTTATTCATACCTCTAAAACTCTTGTTTATGATTTATTCTTATTCCTTAATACTTTAAAATCATAATTCACTTATTTGCACATTTGAAGTTGCTTTTGAAGATAAAATAGTATAAATGTTATATATTTTATACATATTAAAATGCAATGAAAATACCAGAAATATGAAATGTAAATATATTTATTTCATTTTTAATTGTTTTGGTGGATGTTTGAAAAATGTAAATTAATATCTGTGACAAAAAACTTGTCACTTCGTTCTTTGAGTTCATTAATGTACTACTAATAAAACTGTACCTTTTATAATGAAGCATACTGGAAAATAAAAACAAATACTTTTTACTACTTTTGTATTTTTTACTTCTTGGGTTTGATTTGTAAGTTTCACATGTGTTTAGAGCATGATTCTGAGGAACTTAACTGCAATGAACAGAGGCAGATAAGAGCTGTCAGCCTGGGGTGCAGGTCTCTGGGGGCATGATCTGTTCTGGTTTAGCAATATTTATGAAGATTAGATATCTGACCCCTAAAGGCCCTAAAGATTGAAGAAAGATGCTGTTTGCCAAATTATTTAAACAACCAGACTTATGACTTTTGAAAACATGACAACTTTGATATTTTCAGTGGTCCATTGTGAGCCAAGTCTACATTGAGAGAATTGGTCTGACAGGGCATCATCATCTGCCCATTTGTAACCGAGAAGACCACAGTTGTCCTTCAGGTAATAACAGTGTCATAAAAGAGAGTGATTACCGGATTCACTTTAAAACAATTATTCCAGTTGTTATTCCAGTTGATATCTATATTATTCCAGTTGTTAAATATATATATATATCCATGTTTATATAGATCCCAAAAGAAATATAATTAGTTGATTACTGAGGTACGAGTGCCTGGATTTAAATGTTTCTATAAATATATTCCTTCAAAAAGTACAATATAAAACAAATAGATAAGTGTGTTTTGGGTGAATGTATGAAGAATAATAGCAAAATGTGGGTTTTTAAAAGTTAACTACCTTTTAGCAATAAGTAGAATTATGTATGTATTTTAAAAGGATCATGAATTCAAGAATTTTTTTTTAATTTTTAAGATTAATTGCAGTTTAAATATGAAAATGTCAACTTTCCAGAATACAGTCCTGTGTATATTTTGATAAGTGGATATGATTGTGCACTACCAAGATAAAAATAGAGCATAGTTCAATCTTACCAATAAATGCCCCAGTGCCACTTTGTAGACAACCCCTTCTTCTAACCCCAACCCCTGTAAACTATCAATCTGTCCCCATACCTTTCCCTTTTCAAAATTGAAATGTACAGTATGTCATCTTTTGAGATTATTCCCTCTCTTTTATGAGATCACTTCT